GGATTTAGGTTCTATCGAACTAATGAGATGTACCTTGATTCCCAACCTTAAGCGAACGTAATGTCGCAGTTTCCGAAGTGAGAAAAACAACAGAACAGCCGCACCGTAGCAGATGCTCTCTTCCTTCCGTAAGACACAGTTTATTCATGACCCCATACAGGAGACGGTGGGAAAGGGTGTATCCTCAAGAAAACTGTTAAGGAACGTGGCGGAAATGTGCTTTTCGCTAGAAATAAATAAGGAAATGAGATTACTACACCCAATGGAAACATTTAAAAAGTGGAGTCTGCAGTACGAAAAGCCCTTTCACCAACCTTGTCATTCTCATTGATTCTCCAGACCTAAGTATTTCGTCTTCTGGTTTCAGTAGTCCCTTATTAGCATTTCTCCCGCTGGAACCGGGAGATAGGGCCGAGACATCTGGCCCGACCCTCTGAAATTCGGAAACGCGGGGTGACGGTAAACAATGGGCACAATTATTGCGTAAGTTCCTCTGAAATGAAGCGGGTGCGCGCCAGACGGCCCCCTCCCAGTTGCTTTTGCGGTTCTTGCGCACCTCCTGTTAATTTCGGGGAGACTCGAGGTAATCTCGAAATCGGATTGTGTCTTTTAGTCCGCTATTTTTTTTAATTTGATATTTTAAAATATTGTGCTTTTTTTTAATTTGATCAACTGAATTTATTAAAGAATTATATCTGGGACAGATGTAGAAAGGGAAGTTGGCTCATTTTCAGCTTAATGCTTTCTCTTTTGCACCTGGACCTAAGATATCAAAAGTGGCCTGTTGAGCAAAATCATTGTTTCTCAGCTAATACAGACATATTGTCAAATAACCTCACCCAACCGAGGTTATCTGAAGCATATGTATTTCAGATGATGCCCTATGATATATATTTTAACAATAATTACACTATTTAAATAGTGCATTGCTTTCAAAGGAAAGCAAACAGACCCTATTTACATTTTTTACTTTTTCAACATATTTCATCTTGCAATTATTTTATCTTTATTTTGACAATGTAGAGAGAAGGTATACCACAAATATCATGCACCATGTTGTAGCCCATAGTAATTTAAACAAACCTAAACGCAAATTTGGCACGTGGAAAAGGTATACATACCCGATGTAAAGTTTGCTTTTTTGACATATGCTGACATGTCGATATTTTATCTTTATTTAAACAGTATGTAAAAGTAAAGGTGATGTAACTGAACAAAATAATTATGAAAAGTGGCTTTGATATCATTTGCTCAACAAAAAATAACATGCCATTTCATTTTATGGAAAGGAGGAAATGCACTTTTTGTTCCAATACCTGGTATTGCCTGCTTTGACAGAAACAACTTCATATAGGTGTTTCTTATAACTGTCTATAGTCTCCAACATTGAGAGGATTTTTTTCCCCACTTCTCCATACAGAATTTTTCCAGCTATGTGCGATGTTTGAGGCATTTCTTTCATGCATGGCCTGTTCAATAGGATCTGGGATTTGACTTGGCCATTCCAGAATCCTCTCTTTTTCTATTATTCAGCAATTCTGTGGTAGATTTACTGGAATGTTTGGCTCATTGTCATGTTGGAAGGTCAGTTGAGCTTCATTCAGTGGCTTCATATTATCCTCAAGTATCCTCTGATGCAATAAAGAATTTACAGTGGATTCTAGAATGGTGAGCTGCCTAGGCCCTGATGCATTCCCACCACCAGGGTTTATAATTGGTATTAGGCTGTTTTGGTGAACTGCTGTCTTCAGAACATGATCCAATTATTTGCACTTGATCTGGTGTACCTGATTGTAATTTTAGTTATTTGAGGTGGTGTTAAATACAAGGGTGTAGTTACTTTTTCCACATGTAAAATTTACATGTTTATATGATTTAAATTGAGCTACAGTATGTAATTGGTGCATGATATTTGTTATATCCCTTTATCATTATTGTTGAAATAAAGATCAACTATCTGTATGTTGAAAAATTAAAAAATCTCGATGGACTACTTACTTTTTAACAAAACTGTGGTTATGTAAGCAGTTTTAAAAGGAATAAATTCCACTGGCTCAGTGGCATATTTTCAGTGAGACATTCCACTTTAACAGTTTTGCCAGTTCCACTCTAAATCTAAAGCATGATTTGATCAGCCTGTTTTAGAAATATTCTTGTCTGAATATTTCTGAGGCTTTATTAGAAACTAGCTTGGTCTCCCAACAATGCAATTCTATGTAGGCCAGCTTAGAAGCAAGGCCCATAAGGTTTAGTAGTTTCAGGATGGCCTTTTAAGACTACCACCTACATGTCCTATGAAAGAGGTCATTTCCTTTGATTTGAGATGGATTCCCAAGGATTTCATAGATCTTCTCTATGAACATTTCTTGGCAAGAATTACCAAATACTGCCTTCTTACAGATTTTTTTTTTCAATTTTCTAGTCCTTAAATTTCCTGATGATCTCCTTTCAATTATTAACCACATCTGATTCAGCATAAGCTTTTGAGCTAAGGGTCAAGTTTAAGGAGAGGCACCTTTACTTCATAAGTACTCATCTGAGATTAGATTCTGTTGAAATCAGTCTGAGCAGATCTGTAAATAGGTTTGCTCTGCCAAACAGGGATAAAGGGGAATCAAAGAATTTAAGCTGGAGGTAACAAGCTATGTGGGATACTGTAAAATTATGGCAGTTCAAAAGGAACTAGTTTCGTAAATACCAGGAGTATTTCACTTAATAGTTTTAAGCAGTTTGTATCAACTTGGCTGCTACCTGAATGGGTGAGACTTTCCCCGTGTTGATAGTTGCTATTCTATTTTGACAACTAATAAGCTAACTCTAAATTTGGAAAATAACTCGGAGGACATTTTGAAAAAGAGCAGGAACAAAGGCAACTATAGCTGAGAGAAATATTATGCAATTGAGGATTAGGTTAATTTAGTTATTTGGCAGTTTATGGACAATAGAAAGAAAAATTATTTTGCTGATTCTTAGATTTTGAATAAATGTGCTGAACTTTTAATGTTTTATGTTATGGCATGACATGTTATAAAACATTAACCACAAATTGTTTTTCAGAAGTTTCTGATAGGCTCAGGATAACATTTGAGTTTACTATGAATTAATTTAAGAAAATTTGGCCTTAATAACATATTTTTATATAACACATTAAATTGTAAAGAACATTTTCAACTCTCTCTTTGTGTATAGTTTTATGCAAAGTATATAAATAATTATGCATGAAACCAGAAATACTATACATTTTATATACAGGCTTACCAAATTTATGCCAAAAATGGTAGGTATAGCATCTGCTAGTTGTACATAGTTCCTATGAAAATGAGTAGGATTTACATTAAAGATTCATACCTTCACTAACCTTCACCCCTTCACTAACCTTCACTCATTCCTTCCAATTTTTTTGAAGCCAAATATTGTTGGAATTACTGGTCTCAACATTTCTGGGTAATATTGCACTGGGTTGGTGAAGGCTAATATGAGGAATTTGGAATAGTGTACCAGAGGATTTGGAGGCAAGAAGTAAATTGAAGAAAATGCTGGTATGTAAACATTCTGGGAAGAAATATTACCTTCAGCTGACCTATGTCTTGTCACACCTTGAGACTTAACACTACACACTTTTTCTACACAAGGGTAGAAGTACTTGAATATCCCTGTCAGATAAAATCAAGGGCCTGTTTTATGTATAAACCTGTTTCTTTAGTCCTAATCTGGTGCTTTTGGAATAGACAGCTTCCCATAACATGGCATTCTCTAGGTATGGTGGGCTAGTACTCCAGTCATCTCCAATCTTCAATTCCTTGGTTGGGGTGGAAAGAGTAGAAGTCCAATATATTTTTAAGAACACCAAATTAAGAAAAGCTATGATACCAGAAAGAGCAACCATCTGCTATAGGAAAATCTGATAACAGCAGTATCAGCAATAAGAAAGATATTACTGTAGTCTCATGAAAAGTAATTATGTCCTACCCCAAATGCATCAAATCTAACATTAATGGAAGATCAGCCACTTTCTTATACTAAGATTGCCGGAGTGCAATTATACTTTATTAATCCTGTTGTAACCTTTTATTGGATATCAAGTCCTGTGGATTGCAAATTCTTGACTTCCTAAGCAAGGCTAATTCCTATCTAAAGTAGAACAAATAACTTGAATAAACCCTAACCTTAACCCTTTAGATCTCCTTAAAACTGAATAAATTTCTATGTAAATTGCTGGGGACTACAAACTTTTTCTTCCCAAATCTTGGATTGCTTCTTGCTTTCTCCTGCATACATTCCAATTTGCTGCACCAGTTAGTAAATGTCACTGAAAGCAGTGGAGTGTCTGTAGGTCTATTGTACTAATTGGGTTGACACAAAGGGTTAAATTTAAGGAGGCTATTGTACACATTATGTCCTTGAATAATAACTGCAAATTTGTGTTTGCAGGCCCCACTCCTAAGAAGCATTTTCCTTGCTAAAATTATAGCCCACTTAAGGTTCTTTCTATTATTTAGCATCTAAATGGTGTTTATGAGATGGATTTAAGCTTTCGAAGTCCTAAAACAAAGCTGGTATCAGGTCTCAATGTGTAATTTTCTGGTAGCCTTAGGCAAATCAATATGGACAATAGTTACTCTCTCTTGAATTCTTACTTGAGAATGAGCCCCAACTGGATCTTATTCCAAGGAAAGCATACATAGACTTTATTTCAGGCTCAGTGGAACTGTGGCGAATGACCTCGGCTGACTTCTTTGGAAGGTTTTCTAAGTCATTGCACATACAGCATAATCTTCTTTATGTTTATTCCATTGTATTAAATGAGATCTGTTCCCAGTTACCTGGAACAGACTTTTTGGTCCCAAATCACAGGTCAGTATTCAGCATAAGAAAATAGGTCTCCAGAACATTATTCTCCATAATACATTGTAACACCTTGATCTAAAACAGCAACATATGGTAATTTAACTCTTTCCTGTAGAAATCAAGATCAAATGAAAATGTTAGCACTTGCCATTTATACTTTCATTTGAACTTGGTTTTTACTCTCCTGGATTCACCACAACCTTTTTTATTTTCTATATTGAAATAAGGCCTTTTGACCTAAAGAGGACTTACTATCAAGTAAAGATGTACACAAGCCAAATGTTTCCATTTGTCCGGGTGTGTGGGGCCAGGTGCTTCAACCATTTACAGAAAACCAAACCATTTCTTTTTTTTTTCTTTTGAAATCAAGTATAACTACTTTGGGTTGATGGTACTTTGGGTTGATGGTGGATATGAACCATGTTAGAAACTGAATAATATCTGGATCTCATATTATCACAGATGGAACAAACAACACTCCAGATCTGTGGGAATTACTTTCAGCTGCATTTCGACAGAGATGCCAGTTATATATACAGTGTAAATAAATTAGGGCATTGCTGCAAGACTGCATCTCATTCCTTGCTCTTGGAAGCTCCTCCAATGGCATATTCCAAGTCAGGCTAGCTTCTGTACGTGAAGGAGAACCACCGTGGGGGCGGGCCCAAAAGGGCTATTTCTTCATGGCGTCATCCAACCATCACTCCACTGTTGCCGCATCCCTGAAATGCCACTACAATGGCACCTAAATCAGCGAAGGTTTCGTCTTCCTTCTTTAAGGGATGGGTCACAAAGATTCGCTAATTCGGCGCCAGATGACTGGGATAGCAAAGCTGAAGCACCTCTAAAGTAAAAGCAAAATTCCCCCCTCCCCGAGCTCTATCTCATCTTTTATCCTTAGGCACCATGCGTAAATACGCTTAGTATCTGAGCGTGAAATACATGCAGGCGTTCACACTTCTGCTTATACCCCTTTCTACACCTAACGTCGCGGCTTACAAAATTCCATGCTAGCCATCATCTCGTTCTTGCAAAAAATAGCGTACTCAGTTCTGGGGGAAATTTACATTGGGCAGAAGAGGCACCTTGGCTAAACTGTGGGCAAAGTGTGAAGATGTTACAGCAATCTCTGCGGAAAGGGCGTTATAGTACCTTCGAGGGTTGGGTTGCCTAGTGCAAGCCTTGCCCTATGTGCGCGTGTGCGCGCGCGCAGATTATTTTTATGCCTATTAATCTTCTGTAGAAACCTAACCGCTCATTTGCAGTTCATGCAGGAAATCACAAAGACAATTAACATGTCTGCACAGGCCAGGCTTTTGTGCTTATTTTCTAAAGGGCTGCCTATGCGCGTGCTTGTTGGTGTTGATGGAGAAGCAAGAAAGCTCCTCTTAAGAGCTTCGTTTTATAAATACTATAAACGCCTTAGGATTTAGTGCGAATCTGAAAAATCAATAGGATCTCTCTCTCTCTCCCCCCCCCCTCCACCCAGGCCCCACGTGGACCTCGGTCGCGTTTGTTACTTTTTCCCCAGCTGCGTTTCCGATCAAGATAATGAGATGGTGTTGCCATCCTATGCACCCTTTGGTCCGGCTTACAAAACAATGAGACGTAGATCTAGGATCGCGGTACAATATTTGCTTCCGGTCCAGAGGACTTTTTGCCTCCTGAAAAGCAAGTGGCCGGGCCTGCCTTCGCTTCAGGATCCTAAGCGCGCTCTTGCTCGCCGCGCAGGCCTCAATCGAGACGCAATTGAATGCGAGGGGCTCTTTCAGATCGGCGGAACGTTGTGCCCCACACCTTCGGGCTGGGTCGCGCAGTCCGCGTGGGCTGAGGACAGGAGAAAGGCGGTACGCACAGCTCGCCCTCGAAGCTCAGAAGGCCCATTTCCCTGGCGCGAAACCGTTCTCCTCCCCACGGCATCTACCCCGCCTTCCGCCGTTTTCTCAGGAGGCTTCTTTCTGGAGAGACCCGAAAGAGGATTGGGCGTGTTCTGCGAGTTCCTCAAACTGCAGAGAGATTTCGGGGGCTCCGGGAAGGGGGAGGCCCAGGAGACGTCTAGAAATGGCTTGTTCCCTGAAGCTTCCAGAAAAGGCGCCTCGGGAACCTGGCGGGATCTCGCAAATTTGCTTGCCGGTGAAGCGAAGCCCGGTTGCAGCGTTAAGAGCATCCCGGATTGAATGTGGAGCTCTTCTGTTGTGTAGGCAGGTTCTGAGTACACAAGCTGAGGTCTACGGTCCGGTTGTCTGGATGCCACGATCCCGAAGCAGCCCCGGGTGGGAAAGGTCACCTGTGGGTAGCGGGGTCCCTCTTTAGTCACCTCGGGGTGGGGAACTGTCTCTACAAGCCGCCCTCTCAACTGGCTCTGTACACGCGCAGAGATATGTACAGTCCGGGGAGTGACATAAACCGAGGTGGCCCTTGAGGCTGCTCCAAATGCCCTCCTCCCCACTCGTGGTAGAGAGGAACGTGGGTAGCGTGTGGCTTGGTTTGCGTTTCGGACCGTGGACAGGTCAGCTTGGCCGCCGTCTCCGGAAGAAGAAGGGGAAAAAAATGAACCGACTCCGGGGAGGTCGGGCCTGCCAGAGCGCGCCTTTTCTGGTTACCCACTGAGGACGGGGCTTCAGAAGGCCGGGTTGCGGCGCCATCGACGCGAGAAAGGGAAGGCGACTTCTGGGCGGGAAATAGTGGCTGCTGCGGTGAAGCGACTCGCCTTTACCTCGATGGCCCCGGGCCTTCAGGGAAAGAACCCAAATAAGTTCTGCCTGTTCAGCAGGGGGCTTTCAAGCAGGAGCCGAAGGTCACGTCCACGCTAACGCACGTGGGCGAGGGCTCCGTGGGATTTGGACCGCGCTGGATTTCAGCTCTGGGGGTTGAGCGCCTCGGGGCGGGAGTGGGGGGGTGGCATCCAGACAACCGGACCGTAGACCTCAGCTTGTGTACTCGGAGACTTTCTGAAACCCCCTTACTCACTCGCGCGCGCGCTCGGGAGGGCCTTCAAACTAGGCGCAGAGCTCCTTCCCCTTCCCTCCTCCTCCCGCAAGCACTATTTTACGCCGGTGGGGAGGGGGCCACCGAGGGGGCGTCATACTCCAGCCACCCGCTGAGGGGCGGCCCCCAAGCCACCTCCCCTCGCAGCTCCGGCTCCGTCGCGCGTTGCGCGCGCGCGCACGCACACACACACGCACGCACGCGGGCACACGGGGCTCTTGGCTTGTGCTGAATGAACAGCGCTCGGTTTTCGAAAGTCAGTCCCCCAAGTAAGCGCAAGGGGCGGGGTGTCAGGGGGAGAAGCACTAGGAGACGCCCGCCAAGCCGGCCCGCCAGCTCGGGAAAACGCCTCGGCCGACGCCGGCTCCGCCGAGTGCCGCAGCCTAGGTGAGTACGCGCGGCGCTCTGCTGCGCCCTCTCGCTCTGGTTCCGGCGGGCGCCTTTTGAGGCTTCCCGGTATTGGAAAGGGGGAAGGCTGGGGGATGCTGAGTCGTTCGGGCGAGAACACCAGCCGGGCACTGGGAAAAGGGGAAATCGACGACAGGGGAGGCGGAGAATCCTTCTCTTGCCCCCTTCCTTCCCGAACTTCCTAGCCTGGCTCCGTCCATCCGTCCATCCTCCTGTCTCTCGTGAGCCAGGATGTTGATTCCCCAGCCAACGAAGCCACAATTCTAGGGAAAAAAAGTTTAGAGCCTTGAAACGTGGCCCTCCCTCCCTTTCGAAAGCTGGGAATGTGGGCTTCCCCCCCCCCAATCTATTTGCTATTAAATGCAAACTCTTTCATGGAATGGCTAGTAACAGTAGAGGTTCTAAAGCGCGATCAGCCGATGGCAACTTCATCCTAGGCTTGGAAAAGGGGAGGGAGAATGTCGGTTCCCTTTCTAAAGGCAAACACGTGAGCTACTTTTGGCACATCCCAGGACCTCGCGAACTGGCCCATTCACACAGCCCGGCCTGGGGAAGAAGCCAGGAACTTCTGTTTAGGAAGCAGCCTTCGGATTTGCTGCTTCTCTGGCCTAATTCACAAGACCATCCCCTTATTTTGACCCCGGGAAGGACGCCATTCATCCTCTCGCAAACGTGAAGAGCTCGCTTGCTTTGGCGAGTGATTTTGCCCGGCAAAAATAAAAAGTTGGCGACCCGGAGCCCGAACTCGCTGGGACCGCTGAGATTAGTGGACGGATAACCGTGTGTCGTCGAGTGAAGGCTGGCGATCGGTCCTCTTTTCGGATTCTGGCTTTAAGCCCATTTGGTCCTTGAGAAAAGGGCCGCGTGTTCCTGCTGATGCCAAAGCCCAGTTATTGCAGTTTTCTCCATCGGCGACTCCGTGCGTTGGAGGACAGAAGGAGAACCCAGGATTTCCGTCTCGAGTATTCAATGGAGCGCCACGATCCACGGGTCAGTTGGGCCACGGCTGCTCGATTCGTCTTCCCGTTTGTTTAGTTTAAATGTCTATTCATTTGGCAAGTGTGCTTACAAGTAAACTTTTCAGAAAACGCGCATAAGGGAGCAGGCAAGAAAACAAAGCTGAACGGCTCTTTTCAACATCAGTTTTAATCCTGGGTGGTTTTCAGTGAATTTTAACTCCCAAGTGAACCTGCTGTAAATGAGGCAATTCCGGATTATTTGATTCGTGAATCGGTTGCACCGGTAGAATACAGTCAGGAAATCGATGGGGGAAGCAGACCGTCGAAAGAGGGAGGGAGACGCCTTTTGAAAATGGCTGCAAGAGCCGGCCACTCCCATAGAGAGTTATGTAATAGGGCTGCATGTACATACAGCAAATCTGAGCAGGAAGAGCTGATATACTGCCACTTCTTAAGTAATTATCTTCTGGGTTTCTTTCACGGATTAGCCATCTGAAAGCTTGGAGAAAAAGCTATGACCTACAAAGGGTGTGGATTTCGAAAGTGACAGTTGTTAGGCTAAGAGGGCTCTTGTCACTTTGTGATTTCCTTGTTCCATTAAGTAAATGCAAATTGGGAAGAATGGAATTTTTATTAAAACACCTTCTCAACATTTAAATATTTAATTTAAAAAAGCTTCCAGTTAGTAAAGATTACACAAACCTATAGCAAGGAAATAGATTGTTACTTTTGGATGTTTTGTCAATTCTGAATTCATAGGAATACAACACATCTTTTTGAAATAGTGTTTTACAATAGCTCCTAGCACTAATCAATATTTCTTCGGAAGGATTATGGATTATTTATTTACTAACTAGAAATGAAATTAAGGCATATATAAATTAGTCACACCCAAAACGCAGCTAAAGCAAAACATTTGGATTGTAACTACTTTAGCCTGCTATAGCAGGCCAAGCTTACCCATTTAATGCAAGAATTATTAGTGAATACACAAAGAATATTTATGTATAATGGTCAGTGAGGAAACAAGTGTGTTTGCATCCATTTAAAAGACACTCCCAGTGAAATCAATCACCTTTCTTCCACTAGTCATCTGTAGTCTTTTCAATTACAAGGGAACAATGCTCTGGCTATTCCTTTCTTTCTGACAGGAATGTAATTAGATCACTGATTTAAATAAAGCATCAGGAACTATATACATCTACTTGCAAGTAAGTACTATTTAAATCAGTGAGTCATTCTTCCACCCAAAAATGTTTAGGATCAGAATAACCAATAGGACAGCATCAAATCAGATTTCTCCATCTTTCTAGGTAAGGGCAAATGATTTCTACACAATGACCCTTGAAAAACAACATTAGAACAATCCCGGTGAATTGAAGGGGTCTTTGCTGAATATCAATTACCAGCCTCAATAGTAGAACTCCATGTGATGCTAAGCATGTTTGCATCCATCATCAGCCTCCTTGATACATTTTCCATAAATAGGCAAACAAAAAGCATCTGCCTTAAAAGACTGCATGGCAGAAGATTACATGCGCAGGTATGAAAAGTCATTAAATGACACCCCAATGGTCACAGTAATTTTTTCTTTGTTGTATATTTTACTTATACAACTCTAAAGATATATACAAGTATGTACGTGGAGAAATCAAACCCATAGTATGTTTACTCACAGTAAATCCCATTGATATCAATGAGTTTTAATTCCTGTTATGTATGTCTTAAAATTGCAACCTACATGTTTAACAAGAAGATTTAAATTTTCCCCTTTAAAAAACCCTGAATTAGACATAAAAAAGGATTTGTGTTACCAATGTATTCTTCTACTTAAAGCCACCTTCTGTCTCCTCTCACCTTCATCCCAAACATTTAATTAGTGATTAGAATAAATATATAAGAGAGACTTTTCAATCCTAGATATTCCAGCAAACGCCATGTATTATGGACCTTTTGTCTACTCAATTATCTAGATGGTCTTTTTGTCACTAACATCACAGAGGACCTTTCAAATAAGAGTGGACTACGTATTCCAGAGATGGAGAAAGAAAGAACCACTAAAGAATTTTCAACTTGCCCAGCAAAGAACAGTTTCTCTGTTGAGACAGTTTCCATATTAATGCTATCTTCCCCAAGCTCATGAAATATTATTCAAAACCCCTAGGGAAAATGCCTTTTTAAAGAAAAAAACTTTCCCTTTATTCTCCGTGATTTCAGGGCGGAAAGCCTTGGTAAGCCTCCCTAAGGCTTCTGCCTCTACCAGGACAGATCAGGAATTTAAGAACAGGAGTAGGGTTCTTAAGACTGAAGAATCCGTTCTTAGCCTTGGGCTTTGACTCTTCCTTTGAGCTTCAGTAGGAGAAGGTTCCCCACGAGGATTTTGAAGGGCTTTCTCATTTCTTTCAGGATTATTAGAGAAGGAAGATAACCAACTTTTAACATTCAGTGGTCTGACTTTGCTTTGCTTGCCTGAATATTACTTTATTTGTTTATTTGTTTTTACAAAAGTTCTAGTATTTCAAGTTTACAACTGAAGCCCAGTCAGTTTGTGTGTTATTTAATGTACAGTATTGCATGCTAGGGTTATATTTCCTGGTATTAATCACTGAGATCAGCTGAAATTTTGTGGGTAAGTTGTTAAATACTAAACTGATTTTGCTCCTTTTCCACACCCTGACTGAATATAATATATTTAAGAGTCTAGGACAACGTTAACTATTTAATCACTTGTTTTCCTTGATTAATCAAATGCATTTATCTTTCCCATTAATGCTTAGACGATTTATATGGACAGCCAGTAGGTGTCGCTATCCCCCTGCTGGCCAGAATAGGGTAATCAAGAGCCATTCATGGGGGCAGCAGGAATGCTGTATGGTCCCTTACCTCTAAGGTAGCAAATTGCCTTTAGTGAGCTCACCTCTGGCACTAGACCATCTTGCCATTGCTTAAGTGATTATCTGGAAGCCATACTCTCCTATAAGTGAGCCCAGCAATGGACATGTGGAGAAACAGAAAGCTAGTGTATTGGAGTGGGAGGAGAACCATTACCAGAGCCCGGGTCTCTCTCTAAATACAGCTGTTCTTGTCTTATTTTAGCATGCAAGGTGGTTGGTAAGGAAAAAACAGAAACCCAGGAAACAATAGAAGGCTGTACACACATACACAGACAAAAAGAGACACCCAGAGAGATTCCTCTGATGACGCCTCTTGTGTTAGTTTGGGGCTAAAATCAAAATTGCATTGCTCGCTTTACACATGTTTATTCTTAAGCGTTTTGATTAATCCCAATATTGTCGATTCACTAACATGTAATTCTAACAAACACCTTTGCTCACATCTATGCTTTCCCCTCCCAAATTTCCCTGGAACATGGATAAATCCTCAAGGATTGAAAATCTAGATTCACTTCTATAGCCTTGAAAATTGTCTCCCATTTCCTTTTACATTTTGCCTTGAGATGTCATGTGGCAATTATTATTAAACAGGAGGCCGGGATGATTTTTTTTTTTTGAAGATGATTCCTAGAAAGTGCTTCGCATCTCATGAAGTGTTTCAATTATGCCTTTTGCAAAAGAAATTCTTATTTATGAATAGAACTAGGAAATGGGAGACTAATATCAAAGTAGGGTCAAGTTGATTGGCACAATATGCTTGTATTAAGAATATAATTTATTTTAGTGGAAGTTATTCTTAGGAAAAAGCATCAGTATTGACCAAGAATGCTGTTGCTCCCCCATTCCCACCCTAGTCTTGCTTCCAGAAGGATATATTTCCCTCCCTTTTTGCTGTAATCCTACAAATTTGTATCCTACAAATCTTATAAGGAATGCATTTTAATACAAAATGTGTGCTCCCATGCCCTGTATGATGCTGAATAGGTTTTAAGAATATTATCGTTTTAAAGGGTGGGAAATCTCTTGAAAGGCAAAAATCTTTCTTTTCTTTTGGATGCCCTGTGAATAATCTGTTATGAAAGCTCAATAGGTTAGTTTCTATTTCTTTAGACCAATGTCAAATTCC